AAGAGAATGAGGAAAAGGAGTGGGCCCTTGTCCATGAGCCAGGGCTTGGCCTCTTGGGCTACAGCAGCAGCCAGTGCCCATAGACTCAGCTCTTACCTTTGGCCTCATCCCAGCCTGCAATCTCACATGTGGTCGCTGGAGGCACCACATAGTGCTCAGGGGGCAGGCAGATCAGGGCCACTCGCTGGTTCAGGGTCACAGGTCTTTAGTAGGGATGAAGTGCTCAGGGCCTACGTCCACAAACCCAGGCCCTCCTCACACCCATTCAACTTGTCCACATACCTCTCCAGCTTGAGCAGGACAAGCTGGGAATCTGAGGGCCCACAGACCATTTTAGCCACTGACACCCGCTGCAGGCCTGGCTCCCCAGGCTGTGGGTTCTGGAACAGGGTTCCCAGCCACACCTCATATCCTATGAGAGGTGCATGGCTGGGAGAGAAGCTCTGCTCATTCTCAACTCTCAGTCTCCTACCCCATGATCCACTTCTTGGCTTGCCTGAGGAAAGTGGTTGGTAGGAGGACCAAGGTAACAGGTGAGACTAGATTCCCAAACCCAAGGCAGGCTCACCAGGATGAGAAGCATTGTCGGGCTGTCAGTACCCACTGCTCCTTCACTAGGGACCCACTGCAGAAATGTTGGCCTTGCCTGGAGGAGTGGGGATTGGGAGAAGGAACACTGAGTTCTGGGACAAATACAGGACTTGCCATTTTCTGGTTAGGGTCTCTGGGAGCAGAGACAGGTCCCAACTCCCACTGGCATAACCAGAGAGGACACAGCCACTTGGGCCTCACCTGTTGTGCAAGCTGACTGTCCAGGGTGAATTCCCAGGATGGCCCCCCACGATACGTAGCTTGGAGAACCGCTGGTCTGGTCTGTCCACCCTCTTGCCACACTTCTCAAACTGCACCTGGTCTGGGGGAATGGGCAGATGGATGGAACCCCTTGGATGGAGGTCTGGGCAGAGGCTCCCGCCTTACTCCTGGCTCAAGCACATACCTGGTGGGTCCAGGATGGATTTTGGTGGGTCATCATCTGAAAGGCCAAGTTCACCCAGGTTGAGAACCAGTCTTTGCAGATGGGGCTGAGTTAGGGCCACAGGGAAGTGTCCCCACTACTTACTGCAGCGTTGCAGGGCACAGTAGTCGAAGGAGGTTCCAGGATCAGTAGTGTAGCACCAGGGCCCGTGGCTATCCCCATCTGGGTTGCGGCAGAAGTTTTCTTCCAGTTGAGCATATGGGGCAGAGGTGGGTGTGAATCTAAGTGGGAAGGAGGGCCATCTCAGGCCAAGATGTATTGCCCAAGGGTTCAGGCCTAGTCCAGGGCCCATGTACTCACAGTGGCTTGTGTGGGGTTTGTGCAGACCAGTGCTGGCATGGGACACCCTTGCGGGTCTTGTTGACAAAACCTCGATACTGCTCTCCTGAGCCATGGTAGCAACCTGCCGTGGGCATGAGAGATCAGCCATTATCGCAGGCTTGCTCCCTGCCTTCGGGCATCTCCAGCCCTTGTTTAGTCACCCCACCCCCACCTCACCCTCTGTACGAATGTCATCGGTGCAGCGCGGGATCTGGTAGCAGAAGGCCACCCGCATACCAGGCCGGGATGTGAAACACCAGGGTGCCTCCGAGCCATCAGGGTTCCGGCAGAAGTTTTCCCGGAGGTCCCTGGTGGGCACTTGTTTGCTCAGCAGCACAGGTTGCTCTAGCCCTGCCCAGCCCCCACCCTTCCTGTTCACCCAGCCTGGGGCCACCTGTGAAGTGCACCAGGTGCTCACTTGCATGCATATTTCTCAGGCAGGAATCTGTGCTGGTGTGGGCTCTGCGCATCCCAACGCTGGCAGGGCACACCTGCAGTAGTGGTATTGGCAAGTCCCTGGTAGCTCTCTCCCTTCCCTCGGAAGCAGTGGAAAGTCCTGGCCTCATGGTGCAGTTGTGCCTCAGACCCTGGGGTGGATAGAGGCAGCCTGGACCCTGAGAAACTGGAATCTAGGCTGACTCATGGATCTTGGATCCTCCTCGGGTTTTGTTCTCTACCAGCCAATGGGCTACACCCAGCCAAGCCACACCTCCCAGGCCCTGGACCAGAGGCTCACCACAGCTGGGGAGATCGCAGAATTCTCGCTCAAGCTGTGGGTCTGTGGTGTAGCACCAGGGCCTCTCAGAGCCATCAGGATTCCGGCAGTAGTTGTTGTCCAGATCCTTGTCCAGGAACCTAGGGGACCATACCTAGACTTGAACAAGCCCTGGGCCTGGGCCCTTTGCAACTGCTTTTTAATAAACCTTTATAGGTCTGCTACTGCCCCTAGTCTGCCCTTGCGCACATACTTGGCAGGCTCAAAGGGGTGCACATGTGGGTGCTGCAGGTCCCAGCGCTGGCACTCACGTCCCGACTCTGTGTGGTCTACTGAACCATGATAATCCTCACCATTGCACCGAATGCAGGCGGCTAGAAACAGGGCCAGTGCGTTCCTAGATGGGAGTGGGCCTGTCCCTCCCACCCCAGGCTTGATGCAGCCAGTGCTGCTTACCCTCCCTGCAAGACTTGATGCCACAGCTCTGGAAGCGCACTGTAGGGTCCATCGTGTAGCACCAAGGACCTCTGGGGTCCTTGTCAGGATTGCGACAGAAGTTTTCTTCCAGGCCATTCTTGAGTGTGGGTTTATACCTGTGGGCAGAGAGTACCACTCCAGCACATGCTGGGAAAAGTCTGCTGGCACCGAAGAAAGGAAGATTTGTCTCACTTATGGTCATTGGGGAACTTGTGATTCCAGCTTTGGCAGGGCAGGCCAGCTACCGTCTTGGCCATTGTGCCCCGGTACCTGACCCCATTGTCCATAATGCATGTCCGAACATAGTCTGGAAGGAAGAGAAGAAAGGTCAACAGGACTGGAAGTCCTGGGCTCCTTATCCCCCTCCCACTCCTCCCTGTAGCCACTTGCCTTTCTTCTGGAAAAGATCACAGCCTGTAGAACGCTGCAGCCTTGTGTGAGGTGAATGCTGGGTCCATGGCAGCAGTTGGCAACTGAGGCTGCTCATGTTGTAGTGAAAGGCACTAGGGAGAAAAGGGCACAGGTGATCTGAGTTCCGGGTTCCTTTTCCTCCAGCCATGTCCAGGCCACTTGGCTGGCAACTCACCGGCAGTCCAAGAGGGGCCCACAGCGCTTAGCACACTCTTCAGCATCTACTACATCCTTCTGCCAAGATCCAAGCACCACTCCATGTAGCAAGCGCTGTAGCTCTGTGCCCCGAAGCACCTGGAAGTCATTCAGTGGCGAGCGCTGCCCTGTGGGGTGGGCACACATGTCAGTGTATGTGTATTGGCACGTCCTATACGTTACGTGGATGTCAGATACAAGACCACTGGGATGGCCAGGTGCAGTGTTGAACACCTGTTATCCCAGCACTCAGGAGGCTGAGGCAGGAAGATTGCCATGAGTTTGAGGCCAACCTGGGCTACATAGTGAGTTAAAGGCCTGCCTAAACTGCACAGTAATACTCTATCTAAAAAAAAAAAATTCCTCTGGGATGGGCCCTGTGTGTGCTTTTGAGAGCCACCCTGGCACCCTGCATGGAGTACAGGAAGCAGGCGTAGGCATGGTAGTCATCATTAGTACCTCTGGTTAGTGGGTCCAGCACTGGGCTCTGGTCTAACACATACATTCCACGAGAGCTATGGTGATGCCACTTGCCCCATCTCATCTCTTCAATGAGAATGCTTAGGCTCAGACCATTACACTAACCAGGCAGGGACCCAGCCAAATCTGGGCTCCCACCTAAATGAAGACATATGCTAAGTGATTCAGGAGTCCCTTCTTTCTGTGTGTATGCATCTGTGTGGTTCCAGCACTGCCTCCATGCTGTAGCAGAAGTGCTAATGTAGGCCTAATTGTGCACATGTATTCCCAGAGCTTCCCACCTCTTACCAAGAGGTCAAGGTCACTTGCTCCCTGCCCAGTGGGAAAGTGAACTCCTGGCAAGAACAGTATGGGTCTGTGGAAACCCCTCCTGAAGGCAGATGGGAATCAGAAGGGTACTCACCAGGGGCCTCCAAGAATAGTGTCAGAAACAGCAGGACTGGGAGCCACCCCATCCTCTTAGCCAGAGACAGCACTGTGACCCATCCCATGTGACCCACCCCAGCCCGATCCGGGAAGTTGTGAAACCTGTCCCTGTCTGATTGGATGGTTCTGGCTCCACACCCCCCACTCCAGGCCTGCAGGCCCCTGACCTGAAAGGATGTGGCAGGAGCTGGGTGAGGCCAGGCCCCAGGCCTTGGATGAAGTACAAGGGCCCTCCCTTTAATACAGCTACAGCCCCCAAGAACTTCCTTGTGGAACAGGCAGGAGTTAGGAAGACTTGATGGGGACCCACGAGGTACCCTGGGGTGGGGTCTTGAAGCCTCTTTGCAGAGCACATGGATGTGGGAGTGGCCAGAGGCCCAGGTTCCCCCTGGATGATGGTATTAAGCTTCTCTAAACCTCATTTTCCTCCTGTAGAAAACATTACCTGGCTGAGCCCCAATGGTGCCTTCCCCCTCCCTATTCCTGCCTTATCAGTTGGGCCCAGCTGTAGGGAGGTCAGCCCATGCCCTTGGCAACAGAGCCAGGGTGGCTCACTGCCTACTGGTGTCATACCAGGGAAGGTGAGTGAGGCTACCTATTGGGACAAAATAAAGAGTAGAGGTGAAGATAGGAACTTCGGCAGGAGGGGCCTTTTCAGACATCCTAGGCCACACATGGGCCAGCCCTTAGGATTTTTGAGTTGACACAGGTGTCCTGGGGGTCCCAGTTAGGACATGGATTTTGGCCATCATTGCGCTAGCGGTGCTCTCTGGTCGCGCATTTCCTGGAGCCATGGCCAGGAGCGGGCGGTATGTGAGCGCGTGCACGCGCACGTGAACGGCTGGCAGCGCGCGAGCGGGCGGGTGGTTTGGCCCTGGAGGGGCACCGTAGCTGAGAGGCTGGGCGGATGTTGTGAGCAGCGGCTGCGGCTAGGGGTGAGTGAGGGGCGGCGCGGCTCGGCTACCTTCGAGACCAGTATCAGACCAGGACCATAGCGTCCGTAGGGGGTAGTCACGGTTCGTGTGGTGCGGGACTCGGGGCAAGAGCCGGCCTGACAGATCCTCCGGAGCTAGGGGCCAGGAGGGGGCGACTTTGGGGAGCTGAGCGCTGTCCTCGGCGTCCTTGGACTCCCGGAGCGGAATCGGTTCGGTTCCGAGCCTGGATCCCTCAGCAGGGCTGAATAGGATCACAGTTGTAGGGAGCCCCACAACAGGGACAAATTCCACCTCTCGTCTGAAGGCTCAACACCTGACACCTGGATTGCACGTGTGGAAGGTTTGCTTCCAGAAGGTTGAATGTCCGCGCCGATCAGTCAGTCCTAAAACTGCGCCGGTGTGAGGGGCACCGAACACGAATGCCCACTGAAGGCCTGTGGTGGGTGGCAGGGCAGGGTTTGTGGCGGGAGCAAAGGGCCTGTTTGGGCTGAGATAAGAGTGTGCTGCAAGGAAGAGGATGCTAGACAGGGCACTGGTGGGGGCCGTGCTCTGGACAGTCACTCACACAATTTTCTGTAATGGTGGAATGAGTCCAGCCTAGGCCAGGGACATGTGGCTGTGTAATTGAAAAATTGAGTTTTGTATTTTTTAAAACTTTTAATTCCAATTTTAATATGCACATGTGGCTGCTAGTTACAGTGTTGATGGCACAGCTCCAGATTGATGAGGCCAGCACCAGGGACTGTGTGTAGGTTCTGGAGCAGCTGCAGCAACATGTTATGTGGGGAACAGACAGCAATGAATGGAGTCTGCTGTGAGGGATGGACAAGGATGGTACCTGGATGAGGTGGGAGGCCGTTGTAAGTTGGAATAAGAAAAACAGCAGGACTGTAGACAAGAAGGGAAGAACCCGGAGCTGAGGGACAAAGTCTCACCCTTGGGGATAAGTGGGACTTGTGGCTGGAGATGACCACATTAGTGGTGTTTCATGCCTGATGTAATGCACTTTAGGGTTCTCTCTTCTGGACATCATCTAGGCAGAGAGTGGCTTACAACATAGGGACAGAGGTACTTCGATCAGAGGCCACCTCACTTTGGAGATTTTTAATCTGGTTTTCTGAGCGCACAGACATTTAGCTATGACTCAGAAAACCTATATTTGGTACCTGTTCTCTGAGGGCACTGGGCTGGGATCTGAAATGCAGTGTGGAACAAGTTGTGGTCCCTGCCACATGACCTCAGACCCCAGCAGTCCTCCCTGTGTAGGAAGCTGGAAGCTCCTGTTTCCCCTGATGTGTGTATGAGTGTGCATGCTTTTGGTCTCACTTGTCCCCAGCCTTCCTGTCATTGAAGGTCAAGTGGTTCTTGCACTGTGGTCAAGTGCAAGGGCCCTTGGCTGGCTGTGAGTAGATAGGCTTTGCATCTGGCTCAGCCTCCAGGACCATTGGCTGCCCATGAGAAATGAAGAATGGCATCCAAGGGGGCCGGCATGTCTTTATCCCGAAAGAACTATAAGCTGACCTCAGATGCTGAGAAATCCAGGGTCACAGGTAAGCACTTTTACGGCAGGGAGGATGCTCCTTGTGTTGGGGGAAAGAGAAGGGAGGGACAAATGCAGCAAAGTCCTAGATCTGGTGAGCCTCAGGTCTCTCAGCACTACTTATTTCTGTGAGCCAGCTCTTCTCCACTAGTAACTGTGGAGCAGCGCACCCAGTGTGGCTGCTCTTCTGACCCTTGAGAACTGGTAGTGTTTGGGGCTGGCAGGAGCCAGAAGCTGTGCTGACCACGTGTTCCTTTTCTCCGTTCCGACCGGTGGCCCAGGCATTGTGCATGAGAAGCTGCTGAATGACTATTTGCACCGCATCTTTTCCTCTACTGACCATGTGCCCCCTGCAGCCACCAGCAGGTATGAATGTGTGAGTAGCCCTTCCTCACTGTGCTAGGTCACTCTGAGCCTGGAAGGTACAATTGTGGGGAGGGCAGCCTCGCTTGAGTTGTGCTCTTACTCTGCTTCTGGCTGAGAGACCTTTGGCTAGAGAGTTCGCCATTGTACTCTCACTTGTTCCTTTCTCCAGAAGTGCTAGATCCTTTCTTCTGAGGATGTGGTGGAGGTCAGGGAGGGGTGCAGTGCCAGCATAGCACCTGTCCTCCACGGCAGCATCTGACCCTGTGTTTGTCTTCCCATACTTCTGTCACACCCTGGCCCCTGTAACCTCTGCCTGAATTTATAAAGTACAAACTCCACCAGGACCTTTTCCTTACAAGTTTAATATATTTAGATTTAGTCTATATAAGAGTTACATATATACTTTACGGGAAACTTTGAAATATAAGCCAAAGCACCTGTCATCTCATTTCAACATGGACATTTGAATGTGGTTCCTATTTTCTTTATGTCATGATGTGTATAGTTCAGCTTATGCTGTATAGAAAACTTTAAAAAATTGTCACCTTCAGTGTCCTTCTTGAACAATTTTATGAGCTATAATTGACATACAGTAATCTGCATATATCTAAAGTGTACAATTTAAGTTTTAACACACACACACCCTTACCATCAAGGTAATGGATATAGCCTTCCCTTCCAAAAGTTTGTAGTATTTGAATCCTATTTTCATCATGAAACATTATCCCGTGCTGGGTGTGGTGTTATATGCCTATAATCCCAGTACTTGGGAGACTGAGGCAGGAGGATTACCACGAATTCAAGGCCAGCCTGGGCTACATAGTGAGTTCAAGGCCAGCTTGAATTACATAGCGAGACTCTATTTCAAAAAACCAAAAACAAGGCTGGGTGAAGCTCAATGATGCTACTGCCTGCCTAGCAAGCAAGGTCCTGAGTTTGATCCCCAGTACCAGGGGCAAAAAAACATTATCCCATGAGTATTTTTCTACATTTCATATTGATTTTGTTGGGCGTCTTTTAGGGCCAGAGCAGTGTCATCGCCTGTTCTGTTTAAGTAGCCATGATAGTTAGAAGTTTCTTTCTTGTAGAAAGCTACTGTCTGTCCTTACCCCATCCCCAGTCCTGGCCTGTTTCCAGAGCCATCTGATTCCAACCTCATGTGATACCAGAGATGGTCCTACTGCTGCTTGTGCTGTGGCTGCCAAGAGGGAAAGCAGGTGGCAGGGCCATCAGTCAGGGGTTATGGAGATGAAAGGCCCTGGGCTAGAACCTAGGAAATCTAAAAAGGGCAGGCAGGTTCTGAGTTTGGCAAAATGGGCAGTGCTATAGGCACTCAGCAGAAGTTGTCTCTGGCTGGCTTCCCACAGTTGTGTGCCATCACTCTCGGGGACAGGCACGAAGGTGGCCCTCCCAAGCATGGACCTGCAAGAAGAACTACTTTTGAGGACCCACTGGATTGTTCAGATATGGGGTTGGCTTCAGCCTTCCATTGCATAGCTACCCCTTAGCCTTGGCCTGGGGCTCAGCAGGAGTAGGAATGGCCCTTTGTGCCTCTCTGCTTTCTGCAGCTCAGGGACAGTTGTGGCTCATAGCACGGGGACATGTCATACCTGAGCTTCCCTGTAGCCAACTTGTGTGAGTTGATACTTTGGCTCATGGGTATCTCCTTCCAGAGGCTACTTTTCTGTGGGGTGGGTGCTGGGATTAAAAGTGGATGAACAGGCAGTGGCAGTCATGGGCTGGATCTACATAGGTATCAGACCTATGCCCTGCTGACTGCCTGTTATTCTTAGCGATGAGCTCAGAACAGGACTGGCCTGCATTAGACAGTGCCTTTTCTACTCTGGGCATGCGTGTTGTGGAGGTAGCCAGTCAGGCAGATTTTCCCAGCCCCTTTGGTTGAGAGGGCCATGTGCTCTGCTGGCCACCTATGAATACAGGACAGAGCCTGCGAATAGCCCAGGACTGACCTCTTTATACTGCTAGGGTTTTTCTGATTCAACACTGAAAGTCTGACTGCAGAGGAACCACAGGAGTCAAGAGCTGGACTAGGTGGTCTTGCTTGGTATTGGCTACCTCAGGGACTGGCCTTCCTCCCAACCTCCTTTTCTCAGCCATCATCAACTTGGCTGCCTTCTGGAGTGGAGGCAGGGAGTGTGTGTTATTCCTTGGAATCTTCACAACATCTCTGACATAGAGCAGTTGTTCTCTTTTTACACATGAGGGAATTAAGGCTTAGGGAAAATGTCCCAAGGCATCAAAACAGTCCCAAGGCACCAAATTGGACTGGATATAATTTCTAATTTAGTGCCTAATCCCATTCTCCTGACTCCCAGCATGCCAGAGCCACAGACCAGGCAGAGTCCTTTCTCTGGTATCTAGGCAGCCTCCATTGGAAACTCTGAGGAAGGAGTAGGAGAGGGACTTGGTATCCTCTGGCTGATTTCAAGGGCTTGTGGGCCCCTTGCAGCCTCTCACTCTCCCCAGGAAATTCCTGAACTTCCAGAACCTACCAGAGCGTCTGGACCAGCTGCTACAGGTGGACAGTGAAGATGAGGAAAGCCAGGGTATGTGGCACCCTCTGTAGTGGGGCTAGGGTGTGTAGAGCTCAGGGCACCCTCTGTCTGTCTGTTTGTTTGTTTGTTTTGAGACAGGGTCCATTCAGGCTGAACTCACTATGCAGCCCAGGCTGGCTCCAACTCAAGGCAATGTCGATCCTCCTGCCTCAGCCTTCTGAGTGCTGGGATTATAGTCCTGTACCACCACACCCAGTGAGTCTTACAGCCCCTTTTCCCTGCCTCATTCTCTATCTCTTTCCTTCCCAGGACAGGTTGAAGGGCGGCTTGGCCCGTCCACAGTGGTACTAGACCACACAGGAGGCTTTGAGGGCCTTCTCCTGGTGGATGATGACCTCCTGGAGGTGAGTGCAGGCAAGACATTGGATCCCGGGTCCATCCCCTGTGGGCATGGTTCCATGCTTCTCCTGACATGGGTCTGTTCATCCTTCTCATCCCAATGGGGCTGAAGCCATAAATGCATCCCAACATGGACCCAGACCCTTGTGTCCTCAGCTCTTAAACTCACCTGATGTGGCCTGAACTTTGTAGGCCCAGCCCCAAGCTTTCTCAGCAAGCCCTGATCCTATCCCATGGTGCCTGTGGCCCAGAACCTCCTAACACAGGCACAGCCCCTCCTACCTCATTCAGGCACTCTTAGTTATTCTTCTCTTGTTGCTGAGGCAAAAATACCCAATACCCAAAGTTAAAGGGAAAAGAATTTATTTAGCTCAGAGTTTGTAGAGGTTTCCCTCTATAGTCGGCTGGCTCCAAGGCAAGGTGGCACATGGTAGAGGGGTGTCATGGAGGAGAAACAGTTCACAGCACCCACAGGGTAGCAAAAGCAACAAAGGAATTTAACAACCTTTCTGCCCCTTTTATCCAGACTACTTAGGGTAGGTAATACCCACACCCTTAATCCTAGTGCCCTCAGGCCTAGCATTGCACCAGGAATGAATCACACACTATAGATTCAGTCACTTCTAAAAAAATCCTACTACAACTACATGAGGCTTTTGGGGTACATCTAAACACAAGCCATAATCTGCAAGGAGCTCACCACCCTTTTTCTTCATCCAGGTGATTGGACACAGCAACTTTGGGACTATCCGCTCCACTACATGTGTATACAAAGGTGAGCCTGCCTTCCACTAGGCCCAGAGAGATTAGAGGAAGTTCGAGGGCCTAGGCCTGAGGTAAGAGGCAGTCTTTGTCCTGCTGCTAGGCATAACCCCACTCTTTCCAGGGAAGTGGCTCTACGAGGTGCTCATCTCCTCCCAGGGGCTCATGCAGATTGGCTGGTGCACCATCAGCTGCCGCTTCAATCAGGAGGTACACAGAGGGAAGGGGGGACCCTCCCAGGGAGAACTATTGAAAGGTCATTAGGGCTCTGCTGCCCCAGACCTGCTGAGGACTTAACCTGGGAATGCCCTTTGGGGAAGGAACATGCTCCATTCTACCCCAGGGTACCCCACTTAGAATCCCTTACTTCTCTCCTCAAGAGCATAAGCCCCCATCTCTAGAGCCACATGACTGATGGGCTCTTGTCTGCCCACCCTGCCTGCCCCAGACCTCACAGGCTTTTCCTCCGCAGGAAGGGGTTGGAGACACACCCAACTCCTATGCCTATGATGGGAACCGGGTGCGCAAGTGGAACGTGACCACAACAAATTACGGCAAGGTGAGGGCCAAGCCTCTGTGGATTATCAAACCCATCCAACCCCACACATTATGTGGAGCCACTGGACAGCCATGAAGGACTGTAAACACCAGGGCAGGGACAGGGACTCAGGTCCTCCTTAATGGTGGCCAGTGTCACCTGGGTGATTTTGGAAGTACTGCTGTGGGTGCAGAGTGGGCAGGCTGCTGTGTTTCTGTGCATCTGAAGGCCTTGTTTCATGGCAGGCCTGGGCAGCGGGGGACATTGTAAGCTGCCTGATTGACCTGGATGCTGGTACTCTCTCCTTTTGCCTGTGAGTCTCCTACCTCTAGCCATGAGCCTGGCCTCTGGAGCCTTCCCATTGCCCCATTTCTTGGTCCCTGTAAGAAGACCAGGCTGCTTGGTAGCCTGCAGGTGGATGGTCACATCCTTCCTGGCACTGATTCGTAGGCCTCCCTTTCTCCTCTAGGAATGGTGTGTCACTGGGCACTGCCTTTGAGAACCTGTCCAAGGGCCAAGGCATGGCCTACTTCCCAGCCATCAGCCTGTCTTTTAAGGAGTCTGTGGCCTTCAACTTTGGCAGCCGTCCTCTGCGATATCATTTTGGGGTGATGACAGTGGGTGGCTTGGAATTTAGGGTGATGAGCTCCATACCTCAGGAACTCTAGGAAGTCTAGGATTCCCTACCCTGTAGGACTGTGGGCTGGTGGTAAGCCATGGCTACCTCAAGGAGTGACTAGAGTGTGGCTTAGTTAGGGGGTCTGAAGACAACAGGCCTTGTAGCAGTTTTGTTGCATGGGTTCCCTCATCGTCTCCATTGAGCAGATTCAGAATAGGTAGTGGCTGGAGAAGTTTTGCCCCACAGAGACTGAGCAAGTTGTGATGCAAATCAGGCTTCTGCTCTAAAGCCTGGAATCCTTAATGAGAGGGAGGGGTGTGTCTGAGCCTCAAGTCAGCTGTTTCTACCTTGACTCTGTCACCTACCCAATGGAAGGCTTCCGGCCTCTGCAGGACCCACCTGGTGCTGACCTGGTGCGGGCACAGAGGTTGCTGGGCTGTTTCCAGGCAGTACTCAGTGTGGAGTTGGACCCTGCGGTGAGCCAAGGTCTGGGCTGGGTGACTGGGGCCCTTCCCTATCTTCCTTTCTCATAGTCTTCTTCCATATACACAGGAAGGGCGGCTGGTGGAGAAGGAGAGCTCGGAGTGGCAGTTGCAAGGGCAGCCCACTGTCCTCCTCACTCTGGCCCACATCTTCCATCGTTTTGCACCACTGCTGGTGAGGGGATATCTAAGAGGACAATGACAGGCTATGTTAGTTATGCTTATGGTTGGCACTCCTGTGCTTGGGAGTCAGGAGTTCAGGTGCATCAGGCCCAGTACCATCACCTGGCAGGGGCCCCATCTTCAGACCTCAAGGATAGCACTCCAGGGAGTCTGAGTACATCTGGGCACATTCTTTCTAGAAAGAAGGCTGAAGGGCAGTGATGGCACAAGCTTAGAAACTGTGTATGCAAAGCCCAAGAGGGGTTGTGGGGCAGTGGCCCTTTTTGTCTCTCAGACACCACAGGGCTCATCTGTGTGCTGGGTTGCTGGAAGGCCCAGGACTGTGCTTTGGCCAGACTCTTTGGCATGGCCTTGGCATGTCCCTGGGCAGGGTGCCTGGAGCGGAACCAGCTCCCACCTCACAGTGCCTGTCCTCGGTACAGCACAAGGTGTACCTGGTGGAGGCTGTGCTCATAAGCTTCCTGCTGGGCATTGTGGAGAAGGGCACATCTGCACAAGCGCAGTCTGTGGTGCACCAGGTCTTGGACCTCTTTTGGCTCTTCATGGAGGTGAGACTCCTGACCTCAGCCAAGGGAGGAATGGGGAGGCCTTGAGAAAAGCCCTGAATCGTTGCCCTTGCATCTCTCCCTAGGACTATGAGGTACAGGATTGCCTCAAGCAGTTGATGATGTCTCTGCTGCGCTTATACCGGTTTTCGCCAATTGTCCCAGACCTGAGCCTACAGGTGCGAGTGCCTGTCCCTACCCAGAGCCCCCTGGGCCCTACCCGCCCATTCTTAGTGCCTTTTCTCCTCAGATCCACTATCTGAGGCTCACTATCTCCATCCTGAGGCATGAGAAGTCCCGCAAATTTCTGCTTAACAATGTCCTGTATCCTTTTCTTGTTCCTGGCCACCCAGTCATGTAGTGCCCTTAGGTCAACAGAGGCCAGAGGAAGCAGTGTCCATCTGGCCAGGAGTCCCCAGACCAGAGCTGAGTCCCTCACCCAGGACCCAGCCCTCGCACCTTCTCTGTAGAACAGAGGGACTTTACAGATCACTGCAGACTGTAGCTACATGGAAGCATAAGAAGGAACCCCAGTCCCTGCCCTCTTTGGTCAGAGGCCTGTGTTTTATACTAGTTCCTGCAAGATCTCAAAGGAGGCAGCTTTTCTTTTGTCTCCACAGTGTTAAGATCTAACTGAAGCGAGGTATGATGGTGCATACCAGTAATCCTAACACTTTGAGAGGCAGAGGCAAGTTTGAGCCCAGCCTGAGGAACTTAGCAAATTAGCAAGGCCCTATCTGAACATATAAAATAAAAAGGGCTGGAGCTCTAACTTAGTGTGATGGCCCTGGGTTCAATTCCCATTTCTGGACAGTGGGGAGATGACCAAGAGGAAGAAGAGGCTAGCTTTGGCCCCCTGGCTAGGAAGCCTGAGCACATAACCATCTTTTCATTGTGGGGCCTTCCAGAAATAAAGCTGGGAGATACTAGGTTCCCTCCCCAGCCATCTCACCATTGTATGTCTCTATGTCGTGTGGTTATCACACACAGGCTTGACAGTTAGAGCTCTTTGTCAAGGCTCTGGTCTAGGGAGATGGGCACATAGTGGTAGGCAGTGGGCACATGAGGATGGGCTTTCCAAGGAGGACTCAGGAGGGTGCGCAGGCCATGCTGTGGGGAGCCGAGCTGTGCCTTGACGTCACTAGCTTTGATATGCTTCGGTCAGTTATCTTCTTCTACATCAAGAGCCCCCTTCGTGTGGAGGAGGCCGGGCTGCAGGAACTCATTCCCACCACCTGGTGGCCCCACCGCTCCAGCAGGGAGGTAGGCTGGCCCAGTGTGGCAGGCTCTTCTGTTTGCTGGCCTGAGAAGCCCCTGGTAACCGTCTGTCTTCTATCCTGTGCCTCTGCCTAGGGCAGAGAGAGTAAGGAGGTGAAGGAGGAGACAGCAGAGGAGAGGCTCCGGCGTCGAGCCTATGAGCGGGGCTGCCAGAGGCTCAAGAAGCACATTGAAGGTTGGCCCCTTGACTCTTGCCGGGGTAGGGGTGGGGGACTTGTGCGTTTGTATTTGGGTGTGCTTGGTAGTGTCCATGCCTGTGTTGGGCTTAGGGATCCCTGATGGTAGAAGTCTGACCCCAGCCTCTGCCTCTTTCCCATCTCTGGGAGCCCGAGTGTCATCTACCCCTCCCCACAGTGGTAGAAGAACTACAGGTCCAAATCCTGAAGCTGCTGTTGGACAATAAAGATGACAATGGGGTGAGTGTCCTTGAGACCCTGGTGAGGGCCCCTCACACAGAGGGATGCCATACTGGGCCCTAGGACTGACACCAGAGGTTGGCTTAGGTTCCCACGGAAGGCCCAGGGTGTGTTAGGGCTTTGAGCTCACTTCAGCCCATAACAGCCTTGGTTGTCCCTTCCTTGAAGGGTGAAGCTTCTAGGTACATCTTTCTGACCAAGTTCCGGAAGTTTCTGCAAGAGAATGCCAGTGGCCGGGGGGTAGGTGACCTCTGGTGTGGCTCACTCTTGGTAGGAGCTGTGCCCTTCTCTTCTGGGACCTTTTAGCCTGCCCCATTCCTGCCTTATCCTCTTTCTCTGCTGCCTATCCCTCCCCACCTAAGCCCGGACACTGGGACGGCCTTGCTTGAGGAGTGGACTGGGCTGTGGGACAGCACTCATGCATACTTTGTGCCTATGCTCACAGAATATGCCCATGCTCTGCCCCCCTGAGTACATGGTCTGCTTCTTGCACCGGCTCATCTCTGCCCTGCGCTACTACTGGGATGAGTACAAGACTTCCAACCCCCATGCTTCCTTCAGTGAGGGTGAGTGGCCCTGGTCTCAGAGCAGCCCAAGTATCGTGGAATGCTTAGTTGAGGGCAAGAGGGGATGTTCTGCCTGGTCAGGGCAGAGCAGAGGGCTCAGGTCAGTTTCCTCTGTTGATCTCTGATGCTGGCCTGGCCTCCCCGACTTGCAGAGGCTTACATCCCGCCCCAGATCTTCTATAATGGCAAAGTGGACTACTTTGATCTTCAGCGCCTTGGGGGCCTCCTCTCACACCTTCGGAAGACCCTCAGAGGTGGGTGTCAGCTCCTGGACAGTGAGCAGGTCCCTGCCCGTTAGGAGCATTCTCTGCTCTCCTGTGGGTATGATCTATCCTGCACCCGCCAGAGTGCACCCGAGCCTCCACCTGCTCAGACAGGGACCTGCTGATCTGCCAAGCTGCCTCTATCCCCTCCCCTTAGCACCCATCCTGGAGGAAGGCTGAAGTGCACTGATGAAGTCAGACAGGGAACCATGGGGCCTTGGCAAGGTGGGGGTGTGCAGGTGCTGCTTGAGTTGTCTTCAGGGGTTGGCATAGGTTGCCTCTGTGAGGGCACAGTGTGCATAGGGCATGGATGCCAGATGCCACCTGTGGCTGGGAGGCAGAATGCAGCTAGTGTGCTGAGGGTAAAGTGTGAAGCAGGGAGCAGTGCAGATGGGGAGATCTAGGGTAGGACAGGCCACAGAGCAGGGTGTAGACCATTCCAGAGATGGCTTTGCAAGGCTGGGACAAGGCAGGGGAGTGAAGTTGGGGTCTGTGTCACAGGCCCCCTCTGGCCACTTCAGTGTGGGTGAGAAAGGGAACAGAGAGGCCAGTAGTGACTGTGTAGGCAGTGGAGGGTAAGGGTGTCCACCATGTGATCTCAGTCCTGCCAGAGGTTGTGTGGCTGGGGCAGCATTAGGGAGAGAGACTGTGAGAGGAGCCTAAGGTGACAGTTTCAGGTTTGTACATAGTGTGCCTGGGAGACACTGCCAGCGGCCAGCAGCAAGGCATGGGCTAGAGACAGGGATGGTTCCGTGGGCTGTGAGCCTAGGCATAGGAGGAGCCTGGGATGTGGCTTAGTTCTCTTAGGCAGAGTGCAGCAAGCAAAGGCCGAGGGACAAACAATATGACATGTGATCCACAGTTACTAATAAAGTAGTAATATATGAGTCCAAAAAAAGGCCAGCCTAGCGTGGTGGTGCACGCCTGTAATCCCAGCACTCGGGAGGCTGAGGCAGGAGGATCGCTGTGAATTCGAGACCAGCCTGGGCTACATAGTGAGTTCCAGGTCAGTCTCAACTACATAGTGAGACCCTGTCTCAAAAATCCAAAAAAATTGGAAAAAAAAAAAAAAAGCCAAGGAAACTGGCACCAACTTGGATTTATGGAGCAGCTGTATAGTAGGAGACACTCCCCAGAGCAGAGATCACAGAAAACAAGGACGAGGCTAGACAGATGGTGGGAACTGCCTCCTGCTCCAGAGTTGCTGCTAGAGAGGCGCCCTTGGGGTACAGGGAAAAGACTGAATTGGAGCCAGGGGCAGGGCAAGGGAAAACAGTGGAAAGTGGAGCCCTGTCCTGCCACTCCTCCAGATGACCTTGCTGCCAAAGCCAACATTGTGATTGACCCGCTGGAGCTGCAGGCGGCCACGATGGATGACCTGGACGAGGATGAGGAGCCAGCCCCATCTGCAGCCCAGGTACACAGTGGGCACAGGCAAGGGGTGACACCTGGGGCTTTTTCTTTGTTACACGGGCAGGGTTAGCATGCAGGGCTGTCTCCCCTCCGTGCAGCCAAGGTCCTTCTCACCAGATGGTTCCCTCACTGGGTAAAGGCTGGACCTATCCTTCCCCCTCCCTTGCCCAGCCCAGAGGATCAAGGGAACCCCAATTGGCCTGGTCCTGGGGAGCTGAGTTGACACTGACTTCCTCTATGCTGCAGCGCCCCATGCAAGCCCTGGCCATGGGAGGGGCCCTGCCACTGCCCCGGCCCGGCTGGCTTAGTTCACCAACCCTGGGCCGAGCCAACCGCTTCCTCAGCACAGCAGCTGTGAGCCTCATGACCCCACGGCGGCCTCTGAGTGCCTCGGAGAAAGTGAAGGTCCGAATGCTGAGCGTGGAACAGAGGACTCGTGAGGATAGTAGGTGCCCACCTTGGGGAAGATCAAAAGTACCCCTCTTCCCACCCTGCCCTGTGGCCTGGCAGAGTCCCATTGGTTCAGGAAGCACAGTCTGAAGGCAGGAAGTGAATGCTATCAAAATAGGTCCTCCAGCACCTTCCCTGTACCCATCCCTCCCTCTGCCCATTCCCCTTGCAGTTTCCTTCCCAGGCAAAGGAAGGGAGAAAGGGCTACCTCTCCTGCTGCAAGGCTCATCCAGGCTGCCCGGCTTAGTGGGGAGCCGGGAGGCCTGGCCTAACCCTCCCCTTCTCCACTCCCCAGTTGAGGGCAGCCATTGGAGCGAGGGCCTGCTGCTGGGGCGGCCTCCTGAGGAGCCCGAGCAGCCCCTCACGGAGAACTCCCTGCTGGAAGTCCTAGACGGGGCCATCATGATGTACAACCTCAGCGTCCACCAGCAGCTGGGCAAGGTCTTGTGCCAGTGGCCTGCTTGTACTGGGGAGGGGTGTCATGCAAGGTGCTGTGTGCAGTGTGGCACAGCGATGCTGGCCTCTGCAACCACTGCTCAGGCTGATGTGGTTTCCTTTTGGGGGAGGAGGCTGCCCTGGGCCAAAGGTTGGAGTCTGGCCTGGTGTGAAGATACCTGGTGCAGGTACCCCGGGTCACATGGCATCCAATGCTCTAGATGGTGGGTGTGTCCGATGATGTCAGCGAGTATGCGATGGCTCTGAGGGACACGGAAGACAAGATCCGCAGGTGTCCCAAGCGGGTAAGGCTTGGGATGCAGGCAGGCAGGTCTCGGGATATAGGGGTGTCGCTCGGGCAGCGTACAGTGTTACTCCCACCCCTGGTTCTGGTTTGCTCCCACCCGCAGTTCTCCAGGGCCCCACCTTCACCACAGCAGTGGTAAGGCACCAACCCTCAGAGAGGCCTTGCACAACCTGAGCCCCATCGACCAGCTGCAGCCTATGCCAACGTGCCCTGCCCCAACCCACTAAGTGCTAATGCATACCCACTCTCCTCATCCATTATGGATCCATCCTGAGTGCTTCCTTGGCCACTTGCAAAGTCAGCAGGAAGTGGGCCTGCCTCCCCTACCTCTTGGGACGCCCTCTGCCACAGCTTTCCTGGCCTGAGCTAGGCTTCCCTGGCAAGCCTCCCCACCACCACTGTCATTGACACCCTGGGCTGGCCAGCTAATGAAGCTGCAGTTCTGGCCTCAAGTCTAAGGGGTGCTCTGCCCAGGAGCCCATGGACACCCAGCTGGGCTTCATTTCCACATCCAAGGAGTCCACGGCCCTCTACTGGGGCTCGCTCAGGGTTACCAGCTGCTCAGAGCAGGGGAGTTTGACAATGGAACCCAACCCCTTACTGCTCCAGGCTCCTGTTGGGCCCTGACCAGGCTTCTTGGAACAGGCACCTGGGCATGGGGCCATTTCCTGATTGTCCTCCTTTCCCCTGGGGTGGCAGAGGAAGGATATCCTTGCAGAGTTGACCAAGAGCCAGAAAGTTTTCTCAGAAAAACTGGATCACCTGAGCCGCCGCCTTGCCTGGGTCCATGCCACTGTCTACTCCCAGGTGAGTGGGAGCCTCAGCCAGTGGCTGCCTCTCCCCAGCCTTACTGTAGGCCATGGGTTGGGCCAGGACTCTTGATGCCCCTGCCCTTTTCGGTCTGTCCCTCCTTGTCTCTCCTTCCACCCTGACTTTCCTCTCAGTCCCTGACCCCTCCTCTCGCTGAGCCCCACCCTTGCCACCTGCTTCCGGCTGATTCACCTGCCGCCCACAAGGCCGCTAGTCTGTTTCCTGCTCACTTTCCTTCACTTGCTCATTCATTTGTGACGTGACCCCAAAGTCTGGGAGATGCCAAGTGCCTTCCTGGACACTGGCAGGAACTAGAAAGCCAGGCGCTAGAAAGACGAGCCTCTGTCCTTCCAGGGCATTTGGCTAATGGGGGACATAGGGACAGCCCCAAACCCTTGCTGAGACTGAAGTCTGAACCCAGGCCCCAGCCATTCCCAACAAGTTTTCTCTTCCATCTCTCCATCTCCCTCCCCCAGGTGCCTATATCTGCATCTCTGGTTCTTTCCCCAGACCTAAACCACTTCCACCACTTACCCAGTTCTTCCTCCCTGGAGGCCACAGATGTCCTTTCCTCCAGCCCCATGAAGATGATCATGTTAGGTGATCGCTTTGAATTTCACCCTTCCCACCTCCCCAGGAAAAGTGGCTATTTTCTCCCACACCATCTTCGTAGGACCTTTGCTTTCTCATCACACTGCCTTTAAAAAAAAAATTTGATAAAATATGCATGACATAAAACTTGCCATCTTTAGCTAGGAACAATGTAGTCCCAGCTAATTGGAATACTGAAGCAGGAGGCTTTTTCGAACCCAGGAGTTGGAGACCTAGCCTGAGCAATATAGTGAGACCCCATTTCAAAAAAAATTTTTTTAATTACCTTCTTGAGTTGGGGGTTTAATGGCACATGCTTGTATTCCTAACAGTTGGAGAGGCTGAGGCAGGAAGACAGGAAGATCACTTTGAGTTCAAGACCAGCCTAGGGTACATAGTGAGACCCTGTTTCAAAAAAAAAATCTTAGCCCTCTGGGGATCAAAACTAGAGCTTCAGGGGCCAGGAATTTAGCTCAGTGGTTCTGCCACCTGCCTGGCAAGTACAAGGGCCCAAGTTTGATCCCCAGTACCAAAAATAAAAACAACCAAAAAACAGAAACTAGAGCTTCAGGGCCTCATACATGAAAGGCAAGTGCTCCACCAAGCTACAGGGTTTTGTTGTTGTTGTTGTTTTGAGACAGGGTCTCACTATGTAGTTTAGACTGGCCTTGAACTCACTATGTAATCCAGGCTGGTCTTGAACTAATGGCAATTTTCCTGCCTCAGCCTCCTAAGTGCTGGGATTACAGGTATGCACTACCATGCTTGGCTTTTAGTTATTTTAAGTATCAAATATATTCAGTGTTCTGTGTTTCCAGAACTCTTTTCGTCTTGCAAAACAGACACCTTGTACCCATTAAATAGTAGTAACTCTTTAGACCTCTTTCCCTTTCCTCTCCAGCATCCACCATTTTGCTTCCTGTCTCTGTGAATTTGATTACTGTAGAGAGCACATAGGATTGAAATCACACAGTATTTGGCTTATTTCATCTAGCTTAACCTTAATGTCCTTGAGGTTTGTACTGTAGTTTGTGTCAGACTGGCCTTCCTTTTTTTGTTTGTTTGTTTTGTTTTGTTTTGTTTTTTGAGACAGGGTCTCACTATGTAGTTGAGACTGACCTGTGACTCACTGTGTAGTCCAGGCTGGTCTCGAACTCACAGCAATCCTCCTGCCTCAGCCTCCTGAGTGCTGGGATTATAGGCGTGCGCCACCATGCCTGGCTGGCCTTTCTTTTTAAGGGTGAAAAAATATATATATCCCATAATTTGTTTATCCACTCATATGTGGATGGACATTTCACTTGCTTCCACAGTTTAGCTGTTGTGAATAACATGGTTGTGAACAGGAAGTGTACAAAGACTTCTTTGGGACTTTGCTTTCTCAGGTATACACCCAGAAATGGATTGCTAGATGATGTGGTCCTTCTACTTTGAATTTAAGAGGTGCTGCCATACTGTTCCCACAGAAGCTGTGCCGTTCTACAACCCACCGCCAGGGCACAAGTGTTCCAGGTTCTCCACATCCCCACTGAAACTTGTTTTTTCCTAAAGAGCTGTGAGAATAACTTGCTGTATTTTGGATTTGCATTTCTCTCCTGGCTGACAGTAGCACAGCTTCATGCGCTTATTGCACATCATTTATGGAAAATATTCGCGTCACTTGTTCATTTTTGAATCGGGCTTTTATGGTTGAGTTGGAGGACTTCTGTGTGTATTCTGGATCTTGACCCCCGATCATTTACACGATTTGCAACTATATGTATTCTGAGTTGCCTTTTCACTCTTTTGATTCTCCTTTGAGGCAGACTTTGCGTCTTGATGTGGTCCATTGTGTGTGTTTTCCTTTTATTCCTTTTACTTTTGGTGTCACATCCAAGAAATCACTGCCAAATCCAATATCATAAAGCTCTTCCTGTATTTTCTTTTAAGAGTTTTATAAAGATTTAGATCTTATATTTATGGTTTTTATCCATTTCATGTTAATACTTGTATGTGGCATAAAGCAAGGGTCACTCTCATTCTTTTGCATGTGGCTACCCAGCATTCCTAGTGCCATTGGTCCAAGCTGGCCTTTTCCTGCTGAGCAATCTTGGCACTGTTGTCAAGGTCAGTCTGCCTGTGTAGATAGGGGTTTGTTTCTAGGCTCTCTGTCCCATTCCAATGGTCTGTGCTGGTATCATAGTTTTGTTTACTTATTTGCAATAAGTGTGATTTTTCATGTTTATTTTTATTAGGCCATAATTGCCGTACATGATAATATTCATTGTGGGGAGTTGGTACATGTAAATAGCACATTTAATTTCTTTTCATCCTGTGGTAAGTTTTCAAATCAGGAAGTAGGAAACTTCTAACTTTGTTCTTTTTCTAGAATGTTTTGGCTACTTCAGGTCTTTTAAAATTCTGTGTGAATTTCTGGATAGGTTTTTCTGCAAAATACATTGTTGGGATTCAGTAGAGATTGCATTTAAATCACTGATCTCTTTTGACATCTTAACAATATTATGGTCGAACTGTGTCTGTTGTAGTTCTGGCTCCCATTGTGTGATCCTCAGATTCTGGCAGCTACACCTTGGGCCATAAGCGACACCTTGGCAGGTTCCATCTATTTTCTGTGATCTCTTCCACTGGCAGTCGTACTGCCCTCTTTTCCCAGCAGCTCCTCTTAGGCGCTCCACATAAAGCTGTACCTTACTTGTCCACACATCTCTGGGAGCAGGCTCAGATGCCTTGGGCTCCATTTGTCTTAAGCTACACTCCCCTCCATCCTGCATCATACATCCTGCTTCTCCTCATGCTTCTGACCTCTATGGAGGCTCCACCACTGCCAGAAATGTATGCCTCATTTGTTTTTTGTTTTGTTTCAATTTGTTTTGAGAGAGGGTCTCACTGTATAGCCTAGGCAGGCCTTGAACTCACTATGTAGCTGAAGCTGGCTTTGAACTCATGGCGATCCTCCTGCCTCAGCCTCCTGAGTGCTGCGATTACAGATGTGCTCCACAGTGCCCAGCTAGAAGTGCAGGCCTTATTTATTTATTTATTTGTATTACTAGGGATTGAACTCATGACCTTGCACTTACAAGGCAGGTTCAGTGCCGCTGAGCTAAATCCTTGGCCCTGGGCCTTATTCTTTTCTTGTTTTTTTGTGACAGGGTCTTACTATATAGTTGAGACAGACCTGGAACTCACTGTGAAGCCCAGGCTGGTCTCAAACTCACAGGATCCTCCTGCCTCAGCCTCCCGAGTGCTGGGATTACAGGCGTGCGCCACCACGCCCGGCTCTGGGCCTTATTCTTGACATGACCTTGCCTTAACCCCCACAGCCCTCAGTCTTCACCACCCAGCCCTTCATCTACCCTCTTGAACCTGAGACTGTAGCTTCCTCACTGAGTAGCTGTTGTCCCTTCTGCACTGGGCAGCACACAAACAGTCTTCTGGTCGCAGCACCCTCTTACAAACCAGAGTTGTAGCCGTGCACTGTGGAAGCTGAGGCAGGAGGATTGGTGTGAGTTCAAGGGCAGACTGAGCTATATAGTGAGTGCAAGGTCAGCCTGGACCACAAACCAAGACCCTGACTCAATAAAAACCAAACCAAAACAAACTCCAAAACTAAAAAACCAGAAGCTCTGATCCAAGGTATAGTGTTACCTCTCCAGCTCAGAGTTCCCTCTTGCCTCCTGAGGACTTTATTGTCCCTGCTTGTGCCACCGTGCACACTTGCTGCAGTCCAGGTTCAGTTCTGATGTCCTTGTCCTGAGGAGGCCTTCCTGGTCCCCAGATCAGACCATGTCCCGTGCCCATTCCGGTGAGCAGCCCAGCAGCACCCTGTGTGCCTCCTGCAGGAGAAGATGTTGGACATCTATTGGCTGCTGCGCATCTGCCTACGGACTATCGAGCATGGGGACCGCACGGGCTCCCTCTTCGCCTTCATGCCTGAATTCTACCTGAGTGTGGCCATCAACAGCTACAGTGCTCTCAAGAATTATTTTGGTCCTGTGCACAACATGGAGGAGCTCCCAGGTGACAGAGCCATTCCAGCGTGGAGGGAGCAGGAAAAGGGCCTTGAGTGTGAACTGCGGGAGCCCTGATCCCGGCTGCCCATGACCTAACAGCTCACACCCATGTGGGAAGGAGGTGATGCCTCCTGCTGCATGTTCCCTGCCCCAGAACCTGAAGTCATAGCACCAGCAGCTCCTCAGTGCTGGGCGGAAGGCATATGGGCTGGGGCCCTAGCTTTCATTTCCTTGTCGGTACTGCTGAACAATGGCTGTCGGGCAGTCAGCTGGCCCCTTGCCCCGCCACCCTTGCATCAGTCATGGAGCACAGCAGTGGGACAGAGGCAAAGTGATTTGTCTTTTACATCACAGCAAGGATTGGAGCCCTGCTGGGAACAGACAGGAACCCACACTTTCAAAGACCAATGATTCCAAGTTGGGCCTGGTGTTTATGTCTGGATCAGGCTGTGAGCTGCCAGACCCTGCCCACCCTTGCCCCTCCTTGACCCAGCCCTCAGCGCAGGGTTTGTGTTCAAGGACAGGGCTGTGGGTATCAAAGCCATCAAGTGTATGCCCTGAGATTTGTTTGAGCCTGGGCTGGGTCTCTTGCCAGGACGTACCTTCCCCCAGAATAATGCTGTGCCTTTGCCCTTCCCCAACTGCCTGTGAGGGTCTTGCTTGATGTCCCCAGGTGCTAACTCAGGTTCAGACTGGCCCCTGGAGCCAGCTCTGGAGCCTGCTCCCTAAGTCCACAACCCCTGCCAAGGCACAGGCTGACCTCTGGGCTACCAGTTCTCACTGTTCACCCTTGCAGGCTACGAGGAGACCCTGACTCGCCTGGCTGCCATCCTTGCCAAACACTTTGCCGACACACGCATCATAGGCACTGGTAAGGTGCCCCCTAAGGGGGTTCGGGGTGGGGCTGAGATGGCATCTCACACAGTGCTCCTGCCAGGCACCTACCTGCTAAGGCATGGCCTGTCTCTGCAGACATTCGAGACTCGCTCATGCAGGCCCTGGCTAGCTATGTGTGCTACCCACACTCCCTGCGGGCTGTGGAGCGGATCCCGGAGGAGCAGTAAGCGGGGATGGACGGGGGCACAAATCCTCCCCTGCCCAGCACTGTGCCCAGCCTCACCCTCACCTGTGTCCATCACCCCTCGCAACAGGCGTGTTGCCATGGTGAGGAATCTCCTGGCACCCTATGAGCAGCGACCCTGGGCCCAGACCAACTGGATCCTAGTGCGGCTCTGGAGGGTAAGCCTTACCTGGGGTGGGGCCGGCTGCAGGTAGACGTTGTGCTGCCCCACTGACCCCTGCCGGCCCCACCCCCAGGGCTGCGGGTTTGGGTACCGCTATACACGGCTGCCGCATCTGCTGAAAACCAAACCTGATGATGCCAATTTGCCCAGCCTCCAGAGTGAGTATCTGGGTGGCAGGTCCTGCACACAAACTGGTGGCCCTGGCCCATCACCCTGGCTTCTTCCATACTCCCTCCTCTCAGCCCTTTTTCTTAGATTTGTGGTGGGCTTCAAACTCTCTGCCTGTGGCCAGATTTCATTTCCTGGCTTGCTCCCAGCCCAAGGATACTCTGGGACTCCTCCTTCTTGCTCTGCTGTTCCACATGTACCCTTTGGGCCTGTCACTCTGCCGTGGACGCAGTGAAGAGATGCCACATTTTCCCAGGGTGTTAGAAGCTTATACTGTGTCCTTTGCTCTCCATGCCAGCTCCTTGACTCCCGTATCCTTGTCCCAGCCCTGTCCTGTTCCTTGTTATCTACCGGAGCCAGATCTGGGGCTTGCCTTAGGCCTTGGACCCCTGAGTCAAGAAGGGCACAGAGCTGGGTATGGTGGCACACATCTATAATCCCAGCACTCTGGAGGCTGCGGCAGGAGTGTTGCTGCAAGTTTGAGGGCAGCTTAGGTACACAGTTCAAGGCCTGTCTGGACTATGTACTGAGACCCCTATCCAAAGAAAAAAAGGCACAGGCTGGAGTGTGGCCAGGGCTCCTGAGGGTGTACATGAAGCTTCCTGCAGTAGGGGGACATTTGCTGGTTCAGCAAAGTCCCATGAGCCTGAGCACTTCGTCCTTGTAGAGTGCCGCCACACACTGCTCTCACCATACCTGTGTAATGTGATTCTGCCCTTGTCCCTGGAGAAGGCAGGTGCCTTGTGCAAAGTCATAGAGCAAGACCTTGCCAAATGATCTTGTCCTGCCTTAAGGCAGAACTGGGCTGTGAGGAGAGAGCAGTGGGGCTGGACACCATCCTGCGGCTGCAGGAACTATTGATTAGCATCAGGGAAGGCAGGGAGGGATGCTGGGCCAGCTGCAACCTGGAGCTCTTGTTACTGCTGCCAGTCAACCAGACCTGGCACCCATCACCTCAGCCATCTATCATGGTCAGGCCAAGGGCAACGGGATTGTAGAGGACAACGGGCTCACACTAGGCTCCTGGACTCGCTGGCCTTGATACTACTGGGTACCTGACGATGTCTGATGGGCATATGGGTCAGAACTTGTTGGGGTTGGGCTGCAGATATATGGCTACTCTAGGCCTGGGGGTGGTGTAGCACTGGGGTGAGAGACACTTGAAGCCTAGGGCTTGCCCAGCAGAGGGAGGAGAGGAACCCTGAGTCCCCAGCCCATATTGTGCCCTGTTCTCTTGCCTTGACCTTGCCAGTGGCCCAGGGAGTGAGGCAGCCAGGACTGCAGTGCTCCCTCCCCACTCCCCACAGAGCCCTGTCCCTCCACCCTGCTGCAGCAGCACATGGCAGACCTGCTGCGGCAGGGCCCTGATGTGGCACCCAGCTTCCTCAACAGTGTCCTGAATCAGCTCAACTGGGCCTTCTCTGAGTTCATCGGCATGATCCAGGAGGTGGGCCAGGGTAGGGGCCTCGGGGGCCGGGCCTGTCCAGGGCCAAGGTGTGGCCCTGGGGTGCAGCAGGCTTCTAACTGCTGCCTGCCCACTTTCTGGTGCCTCAGATTCAGCAGGCTGCTGAGCGCCTGGAGCGAAACTTTGTAGATAGCAGGCAACTTAAGGTGTGTGCCACCTGCTTTGACCTCTCGGTCAGCCTGCTGCGTGTCCTGGAAATGACCATCACGCTGGTGCCTGAGATATTCCTTGACTGGGCCCGGCCTACCTCCGAGATGCTGCTGCGGCGTCTCACACAGGTGTGTGTACCTGGCAAGGAGGGTGGGCTCTGGAGGCCTGGCTGGAGAGCCTGCCTGTCCACCAACAGGCTTCTGCCTCTGCAGCTGCTGAACCAGGTGCTGAACAGAGTGACTGCTGAAAGGAACCTGTTTGACCGTGTGGTCACCCTGCGGCTGCCTGGTAAGGTCCTAGATGTCTTGTACCCCAACAGCATACCATTGGCCTGGGTTTCTCTGCCAAGATGATCAGGCATAGGGAGGACGGTGGGAAGCACGGACAGCATCAGCTGAGCCTGGGCCTCTGCAGAGGGAGTGGGTGGGTGGTTCATCTCCTTCCTTTCTCCACTTAGGCCTGGAGAGCGTGGACCACTACCCCATCCTGGTGGCAGTAACAGGCATCCTGGTACGGCTCCTGGTGCATGGTCCAGCCTCAGAGTGAGTGCTGGGGATTGTGAGCCCCGGGGGAGCTGGGGGATTTTTGTGAGGAAAGGGTGGGCAGGACCTCCTTGATCTTCAGTCTCATCTTGAAAAATGGACCTCATAAGGTAGAAGGAAGGTGGAGGGATGTGAGATGCCTGAACAAGTGGCAGTAGCAGCTGTTCTGGTAGAAGACTCGGGGGCCAGCAGGATAGGGTTCCCTGGCTTACGGCTGTGCCTCCAGTAGGAGCTGGGGCACTGCCATCCTGCAAGGGTCAGGGCAACACTGCTGAATCGAGCTGAGCACACAATGCACCTGCAACTTAGAGGGTCCAGTAATGAGCACATACTGCCTTTATTAGGAAAGTCCGTAACAGTAGGGCTAGGATAGCCATGGGGATCCCCAGCTCAGCCGCCACATTTGAGGGGCACCCAGGCCCCCTTTCCTCCCCGCTGTAGTGGAGTGGTGAGATGTACACAAGCTAGCGCCATCCCTCAGCCCTTAGGGTGAGACCAGTGCCAGCCCTTAAGAAGCTTCTGACCTGCGAGACATCAAGTTCCAGCTCGGCCCTCCTGGAGTGGCCTGCTTACTAGGCTCTTTACTGCTGTTAAGAGCCCTTGGGATGGGCTCTGCCTTCAGAGCAACTGCTGGATCCCTCTGGCCAGAGAGAGCAGGGCCATTCTGATTGGGACTTCATGCCCCCAGGAATCTCTTGAGACTGATGGTTGAAGCTTTTAGTGAGTTGGGTGCTGGATGACAGAGGGCATTCTGTTTCACCCAAGGGAAGGAGGGAGGGCTTATTTTCTCCTCTGCTGCCTCCTACCCTGGGATAGGGCATGAATCTGAGCCCTCCCCACCCCCAGTGGGCTCATTCCTTCCTGAACTTTTCTGAATACACTTTTTTTCTTTGGTACCATGGATCGAACTTGGGATTTTGCACTTGTGAGGCAGGAGGTGGAACCACTGAGCCAAATCCCTGGCCCTGAATATACTTTAAATGCAAGGGGTCTTCCAGGTGGGCTTGGTCTCCAATCCTCATGGGACATTTGGGCTTAGGAGGAACCAGGGAAAGCAGGCACACTTAGGGACCTGTGCTAGGCAGCACAAAAGGCATACTAGGGATCCCAGCTTCTCTACCAGTGAGTAGGGTCCCTGGGTTCAGATCAAAATCCACAAAGGAGCCGTGGGATCAAGTTTAGGGCTTCCAACAAGTGTCTGGCAGTCCTCTAGACAGCAATAGAGAGCAAGACAAGCAGGAGGAACACCATGGGCAGGGTAGGCTCGGAGCAGCCTAGGTCATCATGAGCCCCTCTGAACCTGTGGAGCTGGCAGACTCAGAGCCAGCCTTAAGTGGCAGGCCCGAAAGGGTGCAGAGATCAAAGTCCTCAGGAACTGCCAGCTGCACACGACCATTGAGGCCCCTCCTACTGGGCTCCAGGAAGACCACGTGCTTGTGGACACTGGCCTTGCGGCTGGGTGCATCCGGGGGTGTGGTGCTGAGCACAAAGGACTGTGCACTCAGCTCCTGGAGTGGGCTGGGTGCTCGGGGCCAGCAGCAGCCAAAGCAGAGCTGGTGGTAGCAGCAGCAGTGGCAGCAGCCACGGCAGGGTGGCGCAAACAGGTAGAGAAGCACAAGCACCAGGCCTACAGCGCAGCCCAGCAGCGTGGTAAAGCCGGTGTTGAAAGCCTCAGGCTCCAGATGCGGAAAGTGCACACTGACGTTGTATTCAAGCGTCTGGTTGTGGTGCAAGTGGGGTCCAATGCCCAGGCACACAAAGATGCCTGCGTGCTGCTGCTGCACAGTGCCAATAGCTAAGCTGCCATCCGCCAGCACTGTGATGCTGCCATCACGGGATCCTGGTGCCAGGAGCAGCTCGTGCTGCGGCGAGACCCAGGTGACGCTCACGGCTGGGGCACTGGTGTTGCAGTAGAGCCTCAGGGACTCACCCAACTTTGCCTGCAGCTGCACTTCAGATGGCTCTAGGTCCATAGCTGGGGCTGCTGAGCAGTTCTCGAAGATTCGGCTGTGCTCAAAGAAGCGCACACCAGATGAGGGTACTCTGAAAGCCAGGCATTTGTATTCTAGGGCAAAATCACACACGGCTCTCAGACCCCTCTGGTGCCAGCGCTGCAGCAGGTGGTAGAGGTGGCAGTTGCAGGGCAGTGGGTTGTTGTGCAGGTAGAGTCCATTCTTGAGGAAGACTGGCAGTGTGGCCAGCTCAGAGACAGAGATGAGTTCCAGCTGGTTGGAAGAGAGGTCCAGAGTACGCAGATGGGTCATGCCCAGGCCGTGCAGGTGGTTGAAAGAGAAGGAGGTGAGTTTGTTGTAGCCCAGGTAGAGGCGGCGAAGTGCTCTCAGGCCATGGAAAGCATGCTCGTCCAAGCGTGCCAGGCAGTTGTTGAACAGAAGCAGCATCTCCAGGGCTTCCAGCCCATCAAGGTCATGGCGGCCAAGCACCCGCAGAGCATTAGCTGACAGGTCGAGCAGCCTCAGGCTGCTGGCGTTGCTAAAGATGCCCTGACCCAGGGCATCCAGCTTGTTGTGGCTCAGGTGCAGAGCCCGCAGCCGGGAGAGGGGCGCTAGCCAGCCAGGGCGGAGGTGCCGGAGAGCGTTGTGGCTCAGATCAAGGTCTTCAGCCGCCTCAGGTAATGTGGCCGGAACGTCCTGCAACCCGAGGCCCGCACAGCTCAGCAGATCGGCAGCGCAGACGCATTTGTGAGGGCAGTCGTGGAGTGCAGGGGGCAGGTAGCCTTCAGAATCCAAGCTGCCTAACCCGAAGCACAGCATGCACAGCAGTGCACCCGGCAGCATCAGCCAGGCCATGGCAGCGACTCGGGATGGGATACAGCAGCTCTATATAGGTTGTAGCTTCAGGACTCACCCCTTTCTGCTCGGCCTCAACGTACTAGCTCCTGGTGGCCCATGGTAGAGGAGGCACTGTACTAGGCCTGCCTCACACGGCTGGCTGGCAGCTGTTACCCTCCGCTCGCTCAGCACTCTAGCTTTCTCTGAGCGCCGGCCAGGTCAGCTTCTAAATACTCACTGGGCGGTGACGGTGGAGGGGGCGAAGCCCTGAGCTCCCATTGGCTCTTGCTACAAGGGGCAGGGCGGCTTTGTTCTCTGAAGATAGGGCCCAGCGTGGCCACCAGAGGGGGCGAGACTGGTCCCCCTCTTCCAGGCTGCCCTTGGTCGGTGACCTTCAGTCTCCCAGAAGAGTAAAAGATAAGTCTGGAGATTTCTACAGAGGCTGCTCAAGTTCTTTGCGCTGTTATCTAGTAACTTGGCTATGTAGGACTTCACTGGGATCCAGGATTTAAGGGTTGGCAAACAGCAGGGACATGGAAAGGATGAAGGGGCAGTAATGTAAGGTCTGGATTGTCACACAACTTGCTCAGATTACTTTCCAACAGGCTCAGGCCTTCTCAACACTTACGCTTTCCCTGCCTAGGACAGAGAGAGCCACATCAGTGCTCCTGGCTGATCCCTGCTTCCAGCTCCGATCCATATGCTATCTCCTGGGGCAGCCAGACCCTCCAGCACCTGGGACTTCCCTGTCTGCCCCAGACCGGAAGCGATTCTCTCTGCAGAGCTGTAAGTGGGCCCTGGGCTGAGTCAGAGAAGAGATCTGCCCAAGATCAGGGTTCTCAAGAACAGCAAAGGCTGGAGATATTGAAGAGACACCAGGTTCTAGGGCCATACTGGGCCTGACACCTCCCACTCACCCAGACACAGATTATATCAATGCTGAGGAGCTGGCCCAGGTGGAGCAGATGCTGGCTCATCTGACCTCTGCATCTGCTCAGGCAGCAGCTGCATCCCTGGTGAGTGGGCCCACAGGACACAGGTCCATGCCATCTGAATCTTTGCGTGCAAAGCTGTGTAGGTGTTTCCAACCCCAGCCCAACGTCCATGCTCCTCCCTTAGCCCACCAGCGAGGAGGACCTCTGCCCAATATGCTATGCCCACCCCATCTCTGCTGTGTTCCAGCCCTGTGGTCACAAATCTTGCAAGTAAGTGGGCCCTGTGGGCTTGAGGGAGGGGCACTAAGGACACTGAGGACAGGGAGTCTTCATCTCCTTCCATTGTAGAGCCTGCATCAACCAGCACCTGATGAACAACAAGGACTGCTTCTTCTGCAAAGCCACCATCGAGTCTGTAGAGGACTGGGACAAGGTAGCAAATACAGGCACCATCTCCTCGGCTACTTAGGCCTGCCTAATCCATGGCCTGCTCCATCTTAGAACCTCTATCCTTGAATCCAAACCTAGGCTGAGCCCTATTTATGAGCTCCCTCTGCCCTATCCTCCAATGTCACCCCCCACCCCCACCATGTCCAGTCTGCTCCTTGCCTGCCTGTTGGCTTCTTGCTGGGAGCCCAGCAATGACCCTAATTATGCCTGTGCTTGACTTTGAGTCAGGGCCATAGTGAGCATTAAATTATTATTGCATACAACCCTAGCCACAGCCCTTCTTGAGGAAGTGGGTTTTATGGGGTGTGTCCAGCAGGGATGCTGCCACTTATGTCCACACGAGAAGGCAGGTATCTACCCCTTCTCAGATAAATGGCACCAAGTCCAGAGCCTCCTGATGTCTCAGGCCAGTGTTCCTCCTGCTGCTGGGAAAATGAGGGCATCACCAGCCCCACACAGCTCCTCCTCACATGATGATGCGAGGCTCTGGCACCGATTCACCAATTGACTTGTGGGGTAGCACACTGGCTCCATTGAGGTAGAGCTCGTCATTAACAATGACGTCTTCACCCAGAACTGTTACATTCTCCATGCGCACCTGTGGGATGGGAGGCCTCATCAGTGTGGCAGATGCATTCCCTGCTCTTCTCCCTACCGGGCCCAGCCTGCAAACTTACCCACTGGCCCACACGGCAGCGCCAGCCCACAATGCACGACTCAAGCCAGGAGTGGGAGCAGATGTGGGCATCCCGCAGCACTGTGCACCGCCGGATGCATACGCCGTCCTCTACCACCACACCAGGACCCAGGCTCACATTGGGGCCAATGCTGCAATTCTGGCCAATACGGGCACTTGGGTCCTGAGAGCGAGGGGTAAAATACAAGTGGGCAGTTTGTCTCCCAAGATCAAGGGGATCAATGATGAATTGGTTAAGAGGCTCACCACAAGCACGTTGCCCACAATGCCAGGGCCTGAGTATAGTCGCTCAGGTTGCTTCTGCCTCAGTGACTGCAGAAAAAGGCACATGCCAGTGAGGAAATCCTTGGGCTGTCCAATGTCCATCCAGAAGCCTACAGGAAGGGATGCATCAGGGAGCTCAGCCCAGCCACAGACCACCCCCTCCCTGTGGCCTCCCTGCCTCACCCTGCAACTCCATGGCATATAGCTGCCCCTCCTTGGCCATAACGGGGAAGACCTCCTTCTCAATGGATGTAGGCTGCAGCTGTGGGAGTGGGCAGCTTGTGAGCAGGGTCGTGGCAGTGGTGGCCCGTCCCACCCTAGCCCACCCAGTGGCTATCTTCCACACACCTGGATGCGCCGCAGCACTGCAGGGCTCAGGATGTATATGCCTGCGTTGATCTTATTGGACACAAATACCTGTGGCTTCTCCACAAACCGGTGAATACGGCCTGTGTCTGCCTCACATACCACCACTCCATACTTCGAAGGCTCCTCCACCTTAGTCACCTGAATACAGGAGGACCTCAGGCCTAGCCCAGTGTTCCCGAGCCTAAATATACATGCTGTCCCAAGTCTCAGGGTCTTTGCCCCAGAAACTTAAAGACATACAGTATACTGCACAATGCTGCATTTGTAATAGGAGACAGTTTAAGGTTAGGGGGCAAGGGAGGCTGTTCAGGGGGGTGGGAATGTCAAATTCCTTACCAGGATGGAGCCTTCCTGGCCGTGGTGCCGATGGAACTGCACCATGGCTTGGAAGGGGAAATCACAGGTCACGTCACTGTTAAGGACGAAGAATGGGTCTGAAGTCTCAGTGAGCAGGTCACGGGCTAGTGCTAAAGGCCCAGCTGGGAAAAGGGGGCAGATCAACACCTTGCAAGGGTCCAAATCACCAGGTCCCACCCAGGCTGGGTCAAAGCCTTTTCCTGGCTCTCAACCCTTACCAAAGGGCCTTCTTGTCTCCACTGACCTGTCCCCAAAGGTTCCTCTTCGTGAGACATGGAGATTCGGATTCCCAACTGGAAGGGAGAAGCCACCGCATCAGGCTCTACCTCCAGGACAGGAAGTTGAGCAGGGACCAAGGGAAAGGACTGAGTCCATGCCTCACCCTCTGCTCCTGGGCCTTCATTTCCTTCTCCAGCACTTGAGACATGTAACTGACGGCCAGGATCACATGATCCACGCCTGCCTGGACAGAACAACGCAGGCCGATAAACCCGTTCAGCCGGGAAGTGCTCACTTCCGATTGTTAACCATTCCTCATCTCTGAAGGTCAGATCCCGGGACTTACCGCGGCAAGCGCTTCCACTTGGTGCAGCAGTATGGGTTTGTTGCAGAAGTCCACCAGTGGCTTCGGGATGCTCAGCGTCAGCGGCCGCAAGCGCGTCCCATAACCGCCCACTAAGATCAGTGCCTTCATCTTGCCTGCGAGCCTCTGGAGTGAGTGCTGGCCCAGAGCCTGGCCGACCCCTGCCGCACACTCCCACCACTGCGTCTTACCCCGCACCCCTCACCAGCCAGACTGGCCAATTTCGACTTCCAGCTCGTCCCGAGTGTGCCTTAATGCCAGAACCCAGGAAGCGACGTGGTACCGGAGGTGTCTGGCCCGGAACCGCGGCAGTCAGAGGCGTGACCATGGTGGGCCAATAGACTGCCGTCTACGTGGCACGGCCGCTAGCGTCGAAGCGCTGCGGCAGACGTAGCCAATGAAAGCCCGAGCGCGCCAGGCTGCTATGGGAACCCGAACAGGACCCGCGGGTCAGCTGCCCACTGGTACATCCAAAGGCAGAACTGGCGCCAAGAGCGAGGCAATCCTCCTTACAGCAGCAGGATCCGTCCCAGACAGACGCTTCCGGCCCAACCCCCTCCGCCGACAGCCCGAAATGGGAGTGGGCGTGGCCTAGGACGCCGGATTGATGGCCAGCCGCGTGGGGCCGCTTCCCTTGGAAGCTGTGATTTTCTCCAAAGACACAAATTTCGTTGCTAGCGGCTTTATTTTGACATACGCGACCTCAGACACAAGCAGGGTGGGCAGCGCTTGGTGTACAGAAGGGTGAGCTCGGCCCGAGCACCCCCCCCACACCCCCACGCAAGGTCCGGAGAAAACGAAACCGCCGGGAGAAGCGGCCGGAGCCACGTCTTGCAGGGCGCAGGCCTCGGGCGGTGTGGACAGGCTTAGCCTCTGGTGGTGGTAGTAGAATCCCACAATGCGAGGTTTTAACATTTCCCCGAGAAGCAAAGGAACCAGGTCCTTCCCAGGGTTCTCCATATTTTTCTCATTTTTGAGTCGGCACAAACATAACCAAAGTACTGCTGCAGAGTTCAAAGCAATCTGCATCTAGGAAATGTGCACGTAGCCAGGTGTGAGCGTGAGCGCAGTGGCTACTGATCTAGTGTAAGCCCTGGTCCTTGGTAGGAGTTACACACCCAACGCATAGGCCCAGGGTGGGAGGGGCAGGTCCTTGGCAAATTGCAACCTAGACCCCTTCCTCTAGAGCACCAGCTGCCCACACCACTCCTAAGTATCAGAGGAGGCCTAATCACCCCAACCCATGATCCCATTTTGTACTTTGGTCCCTATTTGGGGCTAGGAAGACAGGCCTGCCAAGGGTCTGGGCTCTAGTCTGGGACAGAGAAAGAAAAGGGCAGCAATATGTGCACACTCACCACCAGCCTTCAGCTCTCGGGTGATCTCCCGAAGTGCTGAAAAGGGTCCCTGTGCTGGGGGCTGCAGCAAGGCCCAGCCCTTCCACTCTTCTTAGTGCCAGCAGAACGCAGATCATAAATGGATTCTAAACCTTCACTGTGGTAAGGGGCAGCGTCTGCTCCCAGCGTCTGGGAACTGAAGAGGCACAACACATCCCCAGGCAGTCTCAACCGAGCCCAGTCTTACCTGCTACCCTGACGGAACGCTGTCTACACTAACTTAAGAGTGGCAGCTGCCTTCACGGCCAAAGCCACAGAATGCTAAGAGGAAAGATGGTCATTACTGACCAGAAATAGGCAAAGCTGCACCTCCCAGCCCCCAAGGACCTGCCCACCCCTGGCCCCAGCCAGGGTCACAGGGCTGAGAGGGACCCATTTCAGAGGGAAATTAGTCTATCAGTTACCAAGGCCTCTCAGATACAGGCTTACTTTTGAAGCCAAAACAGGGACTTGTCAAAAGTGACAATGACAATGGCCCTATTCTTGGATGAGATGGGCGAACCTCGGCAATGGCCAAATGCAGAATCATCTGCAGGCCACCTGTGTTAGAGGCAGCAAGTCTCTGTGCCATTAAGGGCTAGCAGCAAAAATCACTAGGACAATGACACAGGGTCACCCCTTGAGCCTTCACTGTCTGCTGTCAGTGTTGAGAGCCATACCGCAGGCCCACAAGACCAGCAGAGAAACAATACCTACAATTCATTCTGCTACTTGATCTTTTTTTAAAAAAGGCAGCATCTGCTACAGAAGGGCAAAAGCTCACCTCAGAAATGAGAAAGAGAATACTTTACTGAGGACAGCATGAAAGAAATCAGTATTTACTAACAAGCAAGATTATACCCCAGGGGAAGTATCCCCAAGAAACAGGGCTGCAAGGTGGACATATGGACAAAGTGACAGACCCCAGAGTTAATCAGACAAAGCTCTCATTAGCAGAATCTGGGCACCTGCACCCAGGGTTCAATGTCCCTAAAAGCAGACAACCTTAAAGTTCTCCCTCCAGGCCCAGGTAGCATGCCTCACTATGGGCTGCTTGCCTTGAGCTTGGCCTTGGAAAGTGCAAGACCCTGAGCAGACCACAGCCCTTAAGCTCTGAAGGATCGCCCATCCAGAGGCAACACAGCTGCCCAATCTAGGGGAGAAGACTCCCACCCACAGCGCGAGAACTGCAAATACTGTCTGGAACACAGGCCTTTGAGGCCTACTGGGCCCCACAGTCATGCCCCTTCAGTGAGGTGAGGGATCTCAGTGAGGGGCTGGCTGGGATGATGGGCAGAGTAGTTCACGTGCCAATGAGTGACTAGGTAAACAGGGCCTGCTCCCTGCCATGAGCTAGCTTCAGCTCAGCTTCATGAACCTAGACCCATACCACAATCAGACCCAAGAAAGACAGGCCCAGCTATGTGCAATCAGTAGCTACTGACACTGAAAGCACAAGACTGAAAAGCCCCTGAGATGGGTACCCAAGCCACTACTTCTGAAGAACAAAGGATAAGTGGGCATGAGGGACCCTGTGCCAGCCCAGGGTTTCACCCCACAATTAGCAGGGCGCTGTAGCCACAGATCCCAAAGGTCTAGGCAAGAGAAACCAAAGTCCAAGGGTACCCTGACTCTGCTGCCAAGCCCACCAGGGGCACCTCTTCCTTCTTAAGTCAGCCTGGACACAGCAGTCAGAGCCATAAACTAAGAAGCCTGGCTTAGAGCATGTGTTCTGACTTCCTTCA